AGAGAAACACTGTGCTGCAGAGACATTGCTAAGAAAAACCCTTGCATTCTAGAAAAGAGAAAGAGACCTGAAATTGTGACAAAAATGCATACAGGGGTCCAGTGATTTACAACAGAAAATATGGAATTGAGAGAAAAGGTGTTGAAAAGAGAATCCACCCCAGAACCATTGCAAGAAAATGGTAAAAAAAGTTAAACATTAATTGGGAATGACATATCCAATACTGATGGCACTATTTCAGTTTTTATCACCACATATCTCAGAGACCAATAAAAGTGCCTTGATAAAATTCCAGAAACTGATTTTTGTTCTGAAATTGAGGTTGAATTGAAGTTTACAGAACCTAGGATGTTGTTTCAATGTTACTACTGGTTATGTGTCAAAAAACTTATCAGGGTAATACATGTTCTGCTTTTAATGTAAGAAGATTATTATTATAGCCAGACTGTGAAGAGTTACACACATCTATACATATATAATTCAAGAAATATTTTGGTTTGAAAGCATAAATTATTGTTGCATGTTTTCAAATTTTTACAGAGAGACCTTTAAATCTGTTAGCATGAGCTAAAACATGGAATAATTATAAGCACCATAATACAATTAAATATTTATTTGGAATAGCATTACATGGAACTATAATTTCTCTAAAAAAAATGGGAAGGAAAGAGCTACTGACAAATTTACTAATGAAAATTGTGGACTACTTCAAAAACGTTTGCCAGGAGATATTACTCTGGCTGATAGAGGATTTGATATTAAAGAAAGGATTTGAATGAAATGTGCAAAAACTGAAATTCCAGGGTTTCACAAAAAAGACAAATAACAACTATCACCATGGGAATTAGAATGTACAAGAAAAATTGCTCAAAGTAGAATTCATGTTGAAATTGTAGTTGGTCTCTTAAGAAACAAGTATACTGTACTTAAACGCACACTGCCAATTGATTATTTTCATTGCAGCAGTAATGAAGTGGTAATGATTGATAGGAATGCTACCGTGTGTTGTGCATTATCAAACTTGTGTGATTCAGTAGTGCCATTTGATTGAGAAGGATCCAATTGTATGTAAATATATGAGACAAGACTGCACATATATCTATTGTAAAATATGTTATAAAATATAGAAAAAAACTATTGTTGTCTTCAAGATAGCCTGATGAACTTTCACAAGGTAAAACAGTGGTAAAATTTATTGCTTTTATAAGGTGGAAGAACTAAGCTTTTGGTAGAAATATTTCCTTATTCAAAATAAAATTCCTGGAAATGATAAAATTTAAGCCTCTAAATATATATATATATATATATATATATACATATATTGAAAATATGCTACATTTATGTAATATTCAAATTGACATTGTAATAAATTTTGATAACAATGTTTTTTTTTATTTAAAGATTTGTTGCAGTAATTCTGTCTTTCTCATTCTTGGAAGTTTTCAACATTCAGAGCATCACCACAGTCTCTTTAATATTCTCTTGAGTTTAACACGATTAAAGTATAGCTATGTATATGAACAGTTTTGGTTGCCATATCCAATTACATTCTGAATGTCCTTGTTGGGGTATTACCAGAAACAGCCCGCATCAAATCTGAAATCTGACTGCATGATGTGGATGCTTCATATAATGATTGCAGATAAATTTTACCCACCAATTTTGGTAAATCTGAACTCTTAAAAACTTCTTTGACTTTCAACACCATATCCTTACAGAAATCATTGTCAATGTTAGTGTGCTATGGTTTGTTTGTTTGTAGTTTAAGCGCAAAGTTACACAAAGGGCTATCTATGCTCTGCTCACCAAGAGTATCAAAACCTGGTTTCTAGCATTGTAAGTCTGAAGACATACTGCTGTGCTACTGGCAGGCAATGTGGTATGGAAATCCAAATTTGTACAGACAACAAAATCACAAAATTATACTTGTTATAAGACATTATTATTAAGTCTATTGCATTTTTAACTATACATTCTTTATCTACTACTTTAGGGATTTGCAAGAATTAGAAGAGAGCATAATAATAGTATTCCAACCACAATATACTTGTCATATATCAATTGCCAACAATATATTTCACTCAATCCAGAGCTCTTCAGGCCAGCTAGGATACAATAAACACAGCAGTGGTTGAAACACTATTCATATAAGCCATTTGATACCACAACAGCTGTTATGGTGTGTATGCCTTTTAGAAGCTGGCCTAATACTGGTGTCGTATGACAAGTATAATTGTTCACAAAAATAAAAATCTGTCCCAAGGGATACTAGGAAACTGTAACTGTTGTAAATGTGGGAACCTGGCCATTATATTGGTGGTTGGAAGAGCTCTTGTGGATATGAAGAATAAATTTGTTGTACATTGCTTTACTCAGGAAAGACTTAAATCAGCTTCTGATCAAATGAAAAGTAGCTATTATATGAATGTTTATAAAACTGGTGACAAGGTATGATTGAACAGTTCTCATTGCAAAAGAGGACAAACTCCAAAGTTGAATATGTGTTTGGAAGATAAGCAAATCAAGTCAAAGGTCATCCATCATTATCATCTTGAGGAGTACATTAGTAAAAAAATTGGTTGGTAACTCCAGACGAATAATTGTCAGTGGAAATTCATCTGCTGAGATCCTAGAATTCTGTTGAGACTACTTCAAAAGGTTCATCAAGGCTGGAGCCACCAGTAAATTCACTCAATGATGTGTCTAAAAAGAACTTGCACAGTGACAGGATGGCCAATTACAAAAAGAGACGACACCATTCCATCTGTACACTATAGCTCTCAGCAAAGAAAACCACCAAAAAAACAGTTTAGTGTAGGGTTGTTTTTGTATTAAAATTGATCAAGGAACTTCTCAATACAGGAAGATAGCAATTTTGTAAGCTACATTTTTAATCTTGTAACTTGTTTGTTAGTTTGGAGACGTGTTGTTAAGATAGGCCTAGAAAATTCAGAGCTAACATCAAATTCTTCCCATACATTCAAAGCAAGATTATAAATACATCATAGTTGGGAAGACTGTAAAGCTATATATTTTCAAGATAGAGAGTTAAATCACGCATGCATTGTGTTTTCCTGAATTATTTGGATTTGTGTTTGTTGTGGTGCTTATTGAGTTACTATGTACAAGCAAGTTGATCTTATATTAATCCTAGTATTGTTAGTGAGGTTTGAACATTATTTGTAACATAGCTATACAACAATTTATGATGGTGCACAAGCGTTCAATCTTGTATAAATATTCAAGGAGGAAAAAAAAACTAATCGTGATAGTTATAGTGACTGAACATTGAGTTATTTTCATTAGATATTTTAAAATAGTCCGCCAATAAAAGAACATTACAGTACTACTATGTAAAAATAGACAGTAATCTTTTCCACTGGCAGGTCATGTGATTAATTAAGAAACGATCCCTTATTCTTCAATGGGAACGGCCAACAATCATGTGGGTAGTGCAGTGCCAAGAGGAGAATACCATTATTGTTTTACATATATAATGCTATGTTTTCTCAGTGAGACACTACTTCTACTTATATACTGAGAGCTCTTAAGCTTTCAGTAGACGGAGGAACTGTCTTTAATGAATACGTCTGAATAAATAAAGATTTTGTTACAATGTCACACACTTTATTGAATCATTTTCTTTCACAACTCAGTCAAAAAGAGAATATAATTTAATTTTATACAACAGTTTCTATCAAACCTTCTGTTAGTGTTATTCTGCGGAAGTAACCCAATTACTCTAAGGGAAACCAGTACATCTGAGAATACCACATAGGTGTGTTGATAAATTCAACTCTGACACAGGCTAAGAAAGAAACTTCTGTTTTAGTGTTATTACTTAAGAGTTAAGACCATTATATATTTAGTTACTCTCGCTCATGCGAAAACGCCCACGGCCTCAGAATTCTATTTTTTAAAAACCGTCATAATAGTGTTGAGATATACTTACCTAAATTTTGAATTTTTGAGAATGAAAGGCGTGATATCTTAATTAGAATACTATGATCAGATGCAGTTTCTTTTACCAGTAGACAGATATCTGGTGTAATAAATTAGCTTTGGAAACTTAGATCGTATTATAATCTCATGGAAACGGATGTGTAATGGTAGGGTGTGTATTTTTAGTTTGTTTGTAATATCTCTTGTCACCTTGATCTCAGCTATGTTTGTATAAATTAGGAGATTTAAAAGTACATCTAAAAACTACACCATATCAATCTTATAACATTACATTTTTGATCGTGTTACCGATATGAAGCACGAAACTGCATGACAGTGTGAAGCATTCCTGGATTTCTTATACTATCCATACACACACGGACTTTACATTTCTTTTGTGCACAGCTGCATTATGGAACTGTGAAAAACAATCTCTATTGTTACCTCACATAACTGATAATTAAATAACAAAAATAAAATAGAAATTCGGCACATTCACTGTGCTTTTAGATGAGTATTAATTAGTTGTTTAAAAGTATTACTACATTTGAATCTGATTTTCACAATAACAAGTAATAACGAAGACTATAAACAGGAAATGTTTACTTATAAAACAGGTTTGAATTTGTACGTTTGATGACATGACGCAGTTAAAAGTATTTACTGATATGAGGACCTAATTTACGTCATCCTACGTCAGAGTCACGAGTGGAGTTTCGAATGTGTTTACAATATTAGACCTGAATACATTGTCCAATCTATATGGCACGTTAAAAGCTGTTTTTTCTGACTTCCCGAACAGTCAGAACTTTCCAGATAAGTGTGACGTCAATTCCAGTAGAAAGGACGTTGTCGCTTTCAGCCAATGAATTTCTTGGAAAATGACGTATTAACTATATTTAGATTTATGCCAAAGAAACAAGTGTTTTGTCGATGTACAAAATAGTTCCCAGATATTGAAAAATAAGCAGCAGTGCTACTTTACAAGTTTAAATTTATACTAGATTAATCACTAAGTACTAAAAAGCCTAGCTAGACAAGTAAAGAAAACATAAGTGGTATTTACGTGTTAATATAAATTTTCCTACAAATAACACCATACGAGTGCATTGATACATCAAAGTGATAGATACTCTGCGCCTTTTCATTCCATACCAGTTGTAATTTAGAATTTGAGTAGATAAGGTATCTAGTATAGTGGTTGTGTTTGTTGTTAATAGTATACAAGGTTTATTCCCAATTTGGTTTGAAAAGCACTTTTACTACCACAACGGCTTCAATTCAAGACTTCCGAGATTTGGACGGTCTGGATCTTGCACCATGTCCGTCCTGGCTCGTAGATATGGAGCCTGTGCAATGTTATGACGGGTTACCTCCAGAGTTTGATGGTGTCTCCTCTGATCTACGATACAGTAAGTCTATTTGTCCTCTCGAATTAACACAAGACCATGTACCTGAGCTGGCTGAACTCAATACGCCAGAACTGTCCTTTAATTTACAAGATTTAATTAATGTGAACAATAGTCAGGTTGAAGAATTACGTGACTCAGTATCTCTAATTTCATATATTCCGAAAGGTGCGAAACCTGCTGAATTTCAAGACAGTTCCAGCTGTCAGATAGATCTTTCCGAACTCCTCAGCACTGAACAGTTAACAAGTGAGTCGCTGCCTTCTGGGAACAACTTGTCTAGTTTACTGGGTATGCCTCAACAGCACAACGTCTATGGAGTTGACGCAAGCCTCACTAATTCCATTGATGATCAGTTCCTCAATCAACAACCTCTTGAAGTTGAAAGCAATACACTGTCTAACTCTAAGCATCTTTCTATTAAAGAGGAAGCATTGAAAATAACTATTCCTACAGTCGTTAAACTAAAAGAGGAGCGGGTAGACAACACTTCAAGCTGCCATCGTAACCCCACATCTGAGAGCATCCCCTTTTCCGAAAAGCATAAACTTGATCAAGACCGTAATACTAATAATAGTAATATTAACTTTTCTACTGAATTTGGTACATTAGCAGAAGACGTCGAGGTCAGAAGAGAAAAGTCGAGTAGTACTGGCATAAAGTCGACATCCAAGAACAAAGGCAAGAAAAATATCGATAAATGCAGTGAAGAGTACAAAAAACGTCGAGAACGGAACAACATTGCAGTACGAAAGTCTCGAGAGAAAGCGAAACGCCGGACAAACTTGACCAACCAGAGAGTTAATGAACTTTTAAGAGAAAACGAGGCTTTGTGGAGTCGTGTAGATCTTTTATCAAAGGAGTTGAATGTTCTTAAGTCATTGTTGAACAATGTGGGAGTAAGTGTAGATAACTTAGACCCAGAATTAAAACGAAAACTAGGGATTGATGAACATTTATAACTAATACCAACAGCATTTGTTTTCTTCATATGTGATGTTACCAAATGTAAATAACAATGATATATAACATGATTATTAAACAAGCCTTAGGACCATCTGGTAGTGATCATGATAATTGTGGTCCTGTTCAATCGTGTCCAAAATTACTACTGTTTATTATGTCTCATACGTATTGTCTGTATACTGCTTCTGGTTTTCAAAGAAATATTTTAAAAATCAAAGTTCTCTCCAATTTTATCTATACAGTTGCTAGAAATGTATCATATAACTTTCAGCAGCATTGTAATAAAATACAATTTACATTATATTGTGCATTTGATTTTGTTTATTGCAGAGACCAGGAAATAATACTTTTGCAAAACAACAGTACAGTGATGTAGTACTATTAATATTATCAAAATATGCAGTGTAATTGAACATTTTGTAAATAAACTAAGAATAACTAATGTTAAAACTTGAAGTTTATCCTGGCTATTCAATAATAATACTAACTGTATTTTCTGAGATCTATTAACAGTATTGAGCAAAGTGCCTTCTCTTGTTTGTGACAGGAGCATACCAGAAACATACAGTTGATGAAATAATATTAGTATTAATATATACTTCTTACTGGAATATAATGGCAAATTCTCTTACTAAAATTTAGGTATTTCATTTTCAGTTACACTTAATTTTAATATTTTTTTAAAAAAGATGTGTATCAAATGATGATTTTTGTTTTACATCAGGTAATGGGCTTCTGTACATTTTACAGGAAAGTTTCAAACTTGTATTTTATAAACAACATAACATAATGTTTTCCTTTATGTTTTCTCAAATTATAGTAACAGTTTAGATTTATGAAGTAAGTATTATGTAATGGGTTATTGTGGTTCCAACAGTCATTTGCTGATTGTTGTCATGTTGAATGTGACAACTTCAGAAGTACATTTTGTTATAGATTCCTATTGAAATATTATACTGGAAGTTTATTATTAAAACAATGCAGTATGAGTACTCATACCATAGAAATCATTATTAATAGCTTTGAATGTGCTATATGTGTGTTTGTAATAAAGTTATAGTAAGAATTAAGTAATGTGGAGTTTTTTCCAGGTAGGTTCTGTTAATCTTGTTCAGTCTTGCCATATTAAGCTAACAGCAAAAATGTTGAAAAGCTACACTGCTGGCAGTCTGGTTATTGCTTTAGAGTCTAGTCTAACTGAAAACACAACTAAAATCAATGAAAGATTTTATAAAACAGTAGTGTACAACTCGCTACAAAATTGTGACTTGATTTTGAAAGTAGGAATTTTTAACAGAAAATAAAAACGTAAATAACTTTCCATATTTTCATCACTATTTCATTGAAATAGCCATACAAAAAAAAAACATTTGTTTTGAAGCTTGCAGATATACAATAAGAAGTAAAAAAAAGTAACTTGATTGAAAATCATTTCAATCTTACTGATGTGTATATTTTGTACATATATCAGTGGTCCCCTGGTTAATTATACTGTACCTGTTTGCTACAAACAAAAAATATTTAGGTTAAAAAGCATTACTGGTGAAACATGGTAAGTTAATTATCACCAATTATTGTTATGGTATCATAAGTATAGAAAGAAAAACAGTGAGTTAAGGCAGTGTTAGGTTTAATGATTTATCATTATATAAAGCAGTATTTGTTAATCTAAAAGTTTTCAAATGTTACCTAGATAAGGCTATTAATAAGTAATTTAATACAGTGTATGCTGTTTCACACATACTGTTTAGGACAATGGTTCTCAATCTGTGGTTTGTGGGCTCCCTACAGGCCTTCATGGAAAGGTTGCATAATTCTAAAAACTGAAAAGAAGCAGGAGATTAGAAAAAAAAAGACTTAGCTGGTCAATGAACAGAAATCTTGAGAACCACTGAATCAGGCCCTTGCTACGTTTTGAGATACTTTCTCATTTTTAGCACATATACATTGGTTTTTTTGCTGTTTTCTATTGCTAAAACAACTTCTTGGTAACCACCTCTAGTTTTTAAATGTAAGTGTTCACTAAGGATAACACCAATGATGAAACATGTATAATTTTTTGTTTTAACATCTACAAATATTTATAATATAAAATATATTACAATAAGTATATTCACTATGTGCTAGGCTATAAGTAATTTAAAGGAAAAGATGTTATGTGGAGTTTAAAATTATTTAATATGATTATAACATATAATCATTCTAAAATTAATTTTTCTTCATGTTTACCAATTATTAAAAATAAGGAATTACCAGAAAGTTAATATAGAAAACTTGTACCATGAAACTGCTTATTCCTGTTTTATAACTGTAACAATGTGACTTTTTTTTTAGGAGTAAAGTGTATGAACACTTTGTCTAAATTCATCCTTTAGACCTTACTAGTATCTCAAATTAAGTGTGAAATAAAAGTTTCTGGATTTCTATTCTTATCAAATATCTTAATATGTTAAACCATGACTTGATATATGTGAAAATTAACAGTCATTGCTGGTATTTTCACAGATATACATACAAAACAGCAGTACAAAAATATTTCTTGAATAGAAACTACCATATATATAGAAATTTTCAGCAAAAAAACTTACCTTAATGGCAAATGAGGCATAAGTTCTATGGACATAGTTACTTGACAATGAAGAAAACTTTGCCCACTTTCAAGTTGGTTAGACCAGGATTGCTACCCACCCCTTTATAACCTGAGGAGAGTCTACCTCTAAGAAATAAATTAAATACAGTAATACACAACACTTATAAAAGTGCAAAAAATATGTGTAGAGAATCCTTAACATGGAATATAAGTACACGTAAAAAAAACAACTATCTCCAAATAAATGCCAGTGCATAAATTTATCTGGACTTACAGTTACACCAGTAATTTTAAAACTTATATATTAATACAAAAATTGAAGCTATGTAATAAAGTAAGATAATAATTTTTTTTTACTTTTATAATATATACAAGTAATAAAAGCATTTTGTAAATGTAAAATGATGTAGGGATGGCAGTGCCAAAAATAATGCAAACAAGAATATAGGGATGGTAAAGCTATACATAGATCATCCCTACATGACTTTTAATATTAAAATTTAATGTTACACTGTAAAGTGAAGGAGTACAAAATGGTTACAAGGTCTGTCAGTTGATCGACCTTGTAGCGAGAGAGCTGTAGTCAAGACATATTTTGGCCTAACTTGATTTTTCCTTGTATGTAAGTCCTAGGCTCTTAACTACACTACATTGATGCTAACTTTCACATAACCATGCTATTATGATAAATTGCATACCAACAGTCAGGAATATATAACATCCAACTTCAGTAATATTATAGTCAAGTATGCATTTTACAGTATAACATTAAATTTTAACATTGAAAGTCATGTACGGATGATCTGTGTATAGCTTTATCATCCCTATATTCATGTTTGTATTTTTTTTTGGCGCTGACATCCCTACATCATTTTACATTTACAAAATGCTTTTTATTACTTGTTTTGTGATGTTTTTTTTTCACTTGACTGAAAATTATTGTATTCTATGGATCTGTGTAATAAAATTTAATATGTTTATTGATATTGTTTTACCCCTTCACTTCATACATAGTATAGGGGGTTGGCTCCATAAAGACACTGACTGCATAGTGTACAAAGCATTGAGTATTCTACATGTTACAACCATTTAATGGGTGGTAATTCCTGTTTCACCCCATACTTAAGCTTTTTAAAGGAGTACCAGTAAGAAAGCTAACTTCAAGGGATAATGATAACATTGTTTACACTAGAATCATGATTTATTTTTTAAATTACTACTAGCTGTTATGACTAGGAGATGACGTCATGCACTGCCCAGAAACACATAGAGTGGATTTAGGTTTAAACTGAAGTTATTGATAAAGTAGTTGTAGAGTTATCTTGACTGAAACAAGAAGAAAGGTGAACAATTTGGTGGGTTGGTCACTTTCTGGTTTGGTATCTGAACAAGGGTATCTTGCCTTATTTTGGGGCTTGTTGGGTAGAGAAACAAATGAAAATGAGTGGCAATCATATTTTAAAGTAAAACTCCATGTCACTGTTGATTTTTTAGAGTGCATATTTGTGTTATGCCTACTTTGGCCATCCCTACATATAGAGTCCACTGACTGACTCTATGATACTGTTACGTCTCCGTGTGTTAATTAATTTTCCGTAACTTCGTTCCGACGAAACTTAAGCGACACAAGTTCTTTACTTAATAAAACTGGTTTATTCTTTCCGAATACAACTTTACCGATACACTTATTCTCAACAGTCGCGTTATAACAAACTATAATAAAGAAAGAACTAAAACTACAACAATGAGGAGGTTCGCCTAAGCACTTCGTG